AATAGCTTCCCAATATCTCTGCCTCAGGCTGAGATTGCACCACCTGCTTGTTCACAACTGGTCCTTTTGCTGTTGAAAAGCTTGCACCTTGAGTTAAAGGATTCTTTTTCCTGCTCACCTATTAATAGCACAGTAATATGATTACAACAGGTTGAAGCACATAGGGAAAAAATCACAAGAAAATGAGCATTATTAATACCTCTAGTTTCTTCTTCAATCCCAATGTCTTGCTCTTAGTCTGAATTTTTTGAGTCCTTTTTGGCACCAATTCCTTGGTAGGTGTAAGACCTTTGGACTGACTTCTTGTTAACCTTGTAGGGGTAGTTGCAGCTACTCTTTGGCTTCTTGTTGTGGGTGAAGTTGCAACAGAAGTATGCCCTGTGCTCTGACTCCCTTTTCTCCTTGTAGGTGTAGATTGAGTTTGAGTCCTTGTGACTTTTGTAGGTGAAGTTGCAGCAGATTGAGTTTGGCTCCTTGTGACTTTTGTGGGTGAAGTTGCAGCAGAAATATGCCTCTCCTTTGTAGTCTGACTTTCTTTTCTCCTAGTAGGTGTAGCTGCAGATGTTGTGACTTTTGTGGGATTGCCTTTCTCATGAGAATGATGCTGAGGCAAGACTTGTCTTCTGGTGACCCTTGTATGTGTCATTGCAACAGATTCTTGTGTTTGTAAAACATCACTTGCACTCACAATTTCTTTCCTTTTCCCCTTCTGAAATATTGTTTTCAAATTAGATAAAACACTTGCCCACAGTAATAAAATACACTTAAATAAAACACACCAATGTCCCCTTCTGTAACAATTATTTAAGTAACAAGTTACCTTGCCCACAGTAATGTCCTCAATAGGGGCTGACACTTCACACTCTCTGCCACTTGCTTTGCTCTTCTTCCCCTTCAGAAAAAAAAACAATTATGTACAAAGTATGCTTTCAATTGGATAAACACACCAATTAGTAACAATTGTATAACAAAGAATATTACCTTAACCACATTAATCTCCTCAGTAGGGGCTGGTACTTCACTTCCACTCTCTCTCTCAGCTGTTTTCTTCCTCTTGTTTCTCTTCATAAAAAACAATTCAATTAATGAATCAGAAAAACAAATTTTTATAATAAAACACATAATTGTTTAACAAATTCATTTACCTTGACCACATTAATCTCCTCAGTAGGGGCTGGTACTTGAAGTCCTCCAGTTGGTTCACTCTTGTCCTTTTTCAAAGGGCAGGATCTGATGTTGTGGGTATCTTTCTTGCAGAGAGAACATTTCATTATTCTCCCTTTTCTACTGAGCCTCACTTCAACCTTTTTTTTGGATTTTCCTGGCAAGACCTCTTCATGGGGCTGTTTTTTTCTAGCATTTTGTTTTGGCCTTCCAGGTAGACTGCCAACAGATGGTGGTTTCAAGGGTATTGCTTCTACAGTTGGCCAACTTTCAGGAGGTTCAATAGTGCCCAACATCTCAGAATAAGCCTTCAAAAATGTTTCTTTGTGGTACCAGTCAACAACATAGTCCTCTGGTTGAGTGCCCAACAAGAACATACCACTTATGGCATGCTCACAAGGGATACCTGTGAGGTCCCACTTCCTACATGTGCATGAGTTCTCCCCCATATGAACTCTGAATCTCCTTGAGCTTCCCTCAACTTCAAATTGGTCTTCACCATTCCAGTGACAAATAAAACCCATGGACTTCTTCTTCAATTCCTCCAACAGCTTCAGGATTTTTGGGCACAAGTTCCCATGCAGATGTTTTCTCATCTGATCCCTTCTCATGTAGGTCCTCTTCATCAAGATAAGTCTTATTGTTTCCAACATAGAAACAATAGGTTTACTCCTTGCCCTCAGAATGAGTGAGTTAAATGACTCAGACATATTATTCAGCTGCATATCACACTTTGAGTTGCAACTATAGTGTGACCTTGACCACTGATTTGCTGGTTTCTTAGCCAACCATTCAAAAGCTTCTTTATCCCTTCCTTCAAGTTCTTTCATTGCAGCATTAAAATCAACAACCCTAGTGGACCTGGCTGCTCTCCACAACAAGTTTTTCAGGGCTAATCCCCTAAATGAAGCCCTAAAGTTTCCATACAAGTGTTGGACACAGAACCTATGCTCAGCATCTGGCAGTAGAGTTTCAATGGCATCTACCAGGCCTTTCTGTTTATCTGACATTATTGTCCACTGAAAAGAATTCTCAATCCCCAAATCTCCTTTCAACAGTTCAACAAACCAATGCCATGTTTTTTTTGTTTCCTTTTCAACAACAGAATATGCAAAAGGATACATACAGTTGTTTCCATCAACCCCAACTGCAGTCAATAGAACACCACCACAACTGGTTTTCAGATGGCAACCATCTAAGCATATCACCTTCCTACAACCCATAAGCAATCCCCTTTTTAAAGAGCCCCAACAAATATAAATTCTTTTAAACAGTGGCTCCCCATCTACAAGTTTGCTTTTAATTTTCACAGTGGTCCCAGGGTTGTGTCTTTTGATCTCTTCAGCATAAGACCAAAGCATAGCATATTGCTCACAATCAGCTCCCACACCAATCTGAGACACATATTTTTTAGCCTGATACATTTGCCATCTTTTGAAAACAATCCCTACTTCCCTTTGCATCTCTGTCATCATTGCCTCTACTGGCCATTTAGGATTATCTAAAATCTTATTTTTGTAAGTTTCAGCTATCCATTTTGGAGTAGCATGACTCACCTTTTGGTTTCTAGGACACTTATGCCTACCATTGAATGTCTTAACCTGCACAGTGTCTTCATTCTGAACTTTGGATGCATAAATGAGCCAAGGACATGACTTATTTTTGCATCTTGCTTGCACCTTATAGCTCAAATTAATTGTAAAAGACACTTCTCTACCTTGTGCAATCGCAAAGTTCCTAACAGCCTTTCTAAACATGTTTAAGTCAGGAAATTTCATGCCCAATTCAAACTGTGGATTTTGCATGTCTTTTTGATGATCAAAAGTTGGATGGGCATTTTTAGCTCTCTGCTTACCCTTGCTACATGCAAATTCAGGCCTATCAGGTTCCTCTCTAGTTATCCCTCCCCATTCAATTTCTGCATCTACATGACCCTCAAACATCTTATCATCTTCATCATACAAATCACAATCACTCTCAAGAAACTCATCAGAACACTCTGAGTCTGATCCAAAAGATTGGATTTCAAACTCACTATCAGAATCACCCAAATCATCATCACCACAATCATCATCACATATATCATCATGATTTTGTTCAACAGTGAAATTATCAATTAATTCATCTAAATCCTGCCCATCATCCCCCACATAATCCAATGGTTCATCAACAGAAGGCAAGCACTCAGAAGGTTGACTACTCATGTAGTCTTCCATATGTTCAACATATAAACCAACCATTCTATTCTCATCAATCCAGTTAACAAGACTTATGGCATCAAAATCATTTTTCAAGACAAACAAAGACCGGCAATCATTAACACCATTTTTACTACAATGCACACACCTAACACCTTCTGCCCCAACTTCAGAAGCCATAAGAAATATTTCTATCAGTGAGAGTTCATCAGGGTCACAGTAGTCAATGTGACTTACCCTCATGTTCTCACCAGTATAGCATGTATCACCGAGTTCCATAAATCGTCCACCATAATGAAATGAAATGGTAAACAGTTGTGAACTTGGACCTGAAGGGGACAAGAATATTAATTAATCAATATCCTGGTCCCTTCACATGAAAATTAAATAAAAAAATCAATAAAAAACTAAACTAATTTATCAATTTCGAAAAAGGGACCACATTTCAGAAAAAATTCACATGTTGATATATGAATAATCCACTATTTTGTCGCCACATTCAAGAAATTGTCGCCACATTTAAAACGGGACCACATAATCACACAAACATGTTCACAGTTAAAAGAATTGGGCCAAATTCAACAAAAAATCAAAAAAAAATTACGAATTAGGGTTACAGTACAAACCGTAATCTGGGCAGGGTCTTCCTGGTGGTATGTCATCATCACTGATTCGCTTTTTCCAGACCATCACAATTGCAATCAATTTGAATTTGTGAAGTGTTTGATCTAAATTTTTGCAGAGAAGGTTCTCGTTTTTTTCGAGCAGAGAGAGAGAGAGACAAGAAGAGTGAGTATTTTGCCCTAATTTTGAATTGGGTTTGTGAATTCAATTCAATTCAGAGTGTATTTGGGGGAGTCCAAAGGTCGCGTACATAAAATGGCAAATCTACCCTCAAGATTCGTGCGTGTGCGTCGCACGCTCGCTTTTCCGGTGGAAAACGAGCCGCCGATGGACGGAGGTTGCGATACAGGCAAACCCGTGTATTAAAAGTTGCAATTTAGTACGAAATATTCTTTAGGTTGCAAAATCCGAAAACGCGATTAGTACAGGTTGCAAATAATTATTTACCCTTGCTCAAATATTATTTTTGGAATTAAAAATAACAATTCTTGATTAATTAAATAAAATATGAACCATATAAGGATATATATTAAGTTTACAATTGTAAAACTCAAAAACTATCTCCAATGCATAATATAACCCAACTTCACATGGACAAAATAAATATTTAATAAATTAAACATTCAAAATAGATACTTTGATATTATTGGTAATTGGTAATGGAATTTCTCTCTTTATCATTTTATTGGTTAGCCACAAATGTAAATGAATCACGTGCATGATTCTGTACATATTGTGTCCACTAAGTACACATCATCCTTACATTTGTGATCACATAATGAACTCTGAATTATTGAATGTGAAACTTATTGACCTTGACATTCGTGGCATTTTTATAGCGATGTGAGGATATTCCACAGATTTTTCCAAGCAAATCCTCCACACAAGTTACTAAAAGTCTACAACCAACACGTCAAAACAGAATTAAACACCAAAAAACTCCCACACTTGAAAGAATATCACAAAATTCACTTCTCAAATTAACTACATAGCTAAAAAAAGAAAAAGAAAAAAATGAATGAAAATAATAGTATTGACAAGAAGCACTTTGTGCTGGTGCACGGTTTTGGCCATGGCGCCTGGTGATGGTACAAGCTCATTAGCCTACTGAAGTAGGACAACCGGCACAAGGTCACCGCCCTAGACCTCGCTGGCTGTGGGGTCCACCCGAGCCAGCTCCACCAGATTTCCTCCTTTTCCGACTACGCCCGACCACTTATGGACTTTCTCTCGGCTCTCCTGGACGACGAGCGGGTCGTTTTGGTGGGCCATAGTTACGGCAGAATCTCGATTTCTGAGGCCGCCGATACTTTCCCTGGGAAAGTATCGTTGGCCGTGTTCGTCACGGCTTACATGCCTAATTGCACGGACCCGCCTGGCGATTTTGTTCAGAAGGTCTGGATTTTTTTTTTTTTTTTTTTTTTTTTTGGCAAAATTGCTTTTTGAAATTATAATTTAATCACGATATTTTTACTTTTACAAATTATATCACACAGTCTTCAGTTTTTTGCAAATTGAGTGCACGGGTCCTGAAAACCAGCCCTAGAAAAGCTGATGTGGCTGAAGAATAAACTGAACGGAAGATTGTTGTGATATAATTTGCACGGAGTTTTGCAAATCGGCACATCGATTTGCAGTAGATTTGAAGATTGTGGTATAATTTGTAAAAGTGAAAAGATTGTGATTAAATTGCTATTTTGAAAAAGATCGTGATGTTAGGGGCAATTTTGCCTTTTTTTAAATCCTTTTTAGCTTGATTATGGCTTGATTATGATAAGTTGTTCGTCGGCTTGTTAACTTGACTACAGTTTGTGAAGAGGACCTCGGACGAGATGTCGTTTATGGATTGCGAGTACGCTTGGATGACATGGCAGACACGGTTTATAGTCATTGCCAATTAGAGGTTTATTGCATTGCATGCCTCATTTCGTGTTTCGTTTCTATTTTACGAATCGGTTAAATTTTTTGTTTAAAAAATTATTATTCGAAAATTTTCAGGATGTGGAATTAGCGAAAATGCTGTTGAGACCGAGTTTGTTCTTCGTGAAGGATTTGAGCAAGCCGGTTTGCTGTCCCAAGAGAGGTACGGTAAAATCAAACGTTGTTATGTAATATGTGAGGAAGATGATGCCTCGAGTGTGGAGTTTCAAAGGCACAATATCGAGGAAAACCTGCCAGATGTCGTAATGTCCATAGCCGAGGCTGGCCATATGGTCATGCTCACGAGGCCTCAAGAGCTCTGCCATTTCTTGCTGGAGTTAGCTCATAAATATGATTAGTACTGTGTGTGATTGGTTTAGAATATCATTCATGAAAAAACAATTGATTTATGAAACTATATTGTGTGTGGATTTGGCAATGTTTTAAGTTTCTTTTCTCTCTCGGGCGCTTTTCGATTGGTGTTTCGTGTCGGGCCTATGCTTTCAAGATTCTTTGCTCGTCTCACGAATGAGTTATGCTTGTTTCATATGAATCTTGAACATAGAAATTGGTTCAAAACGAATGTAACTTTTGCGTTTGATTCGAAATCGGTATTATAATATGTTTCCAAAATTACTAAGAGGTCATGGATCCAAATTTCATCATTTGCAACCTGTTTTGTATCGACTTTGTAATTATTTGTNGCAAGAAGGAATGAGAGAGCATCCTTTGTTTTGGTCCATGAGTTTGAAAGAAAAAAGTGTATCTTGTGAGCACATTAGATGCTTGTGTACGGATATATTGTTAGATATCACAAATCTTGGTCATTTTTTCTTTTCCCCTCTTTTCTAATTACATTCAGCATTTTCCTACAAATTTTAACTTGTGTTCTCAAGAATCTGATCAGACCATGAAAATCTTGCTCACTTCATCTTGTGGATTTCTAAAAAGAATTTGATTTAGACGAAAGATCAACCATTTAACGGCAGACTCGAATTTAAAATACCTGCAAATTTAACTATACTATTATAAAATGAGAAGTGATTTTGTAAAAACAATACACGGACCATTGATATAATATTAATAATAACTGTAATTATATATAATTATATACAATCTAATAAATCCATATATAATTTCCGGAAGGACTCTAATGAAGTTCAAATTATGATTATATATAAATTAATATAAAAGCTTTATATGTAGTTCCACCCGAATGGGAAGGACTAATGAATATCCTCACATTATACAAAGAAATAATTCATTTTGGAGGAGGTCAACTTCATTTCATGTATCCTTTACAAAACCAAAGAATTAATTATGAAACACTTGAAGGGACCCCAATAACATAAAAGAGTTCCAACACTAAGGTTTGTTTGTTTACAAAATCACTCATTTCATTTTCAATTCATCCTCAAAATTTAATTCAACTCTAACTAATTCTCATTATCCTCAATATTATCAATATAATTAAATAATAACAATCAATTATTTTTTTACACGTCTCATCAACTTTAATTCACTATTCATCCACTCATATAATGTTAACTAACCATCACTCCACATAATTATTTTATTATAAAATCAATTTTTTTTAAACAACTAACCATACCATTTTTTTTCTAAATCAACCTGATTAACTAAACAAATTCATTTTGAGCGGATTTATTTGTAAACAAACATACTCTAAGGGTGTATTTGTAAATCAAATTTCAATACAAACTCAATTCATACCCTGAAAAAAAAACCTAAATTCATACTCAAAATTTAATTCAACTTTAATTCAACCTCACTATCCTCAATATTATCAGTATAATTAAATAATACCAACCAATCATTCTTGCACATCATATCAACTTTAATTTACTATTCATTCACTTACATAATTTTAACTAACTATCAATTCATATCATTTCTCTCATACTTTTACATCAAATCAACTTTAATTATTTTATTTTAAGTATTATTTTAATATAAAATCAAAATCTCACTAACTACTAATCCTACCTCTTTTTTCAAAATTAATTATGGTTAACTAAAAAAACTCATTTTGAGCGCATATATTTGTATACTAACTCCTGAGAATTTCTAAAAAATTGTTTGTTAATTGTTAAAAGGGCTTAAGCTATCTCCATCAGGCCCATCAATCTCACATTTACTCTTTGCAGATGATTCCATATTCTTTTGTAGAGCTGGGGTGGATCAAGCTGCTATTCTTATGGACATTCTGAACAGATATAAAATGTTTACAGGACAATCAGTGAACCTCCAAAAGTCAGCAATCTTTTTCAGCAGAAATTGTCCTATCAGCCTTCAGGATAACATCTGTGCTGCATTAAATGATATTCCAAAACACAGATCCACAAGGTACCTTGGGTTACCTCTTGGCATAGGCAGGTCAAAAAAGGAGGTCTTTGCATATCTTCTTCAGTCAACACAGACCAAACTTCAAAGCTGGAAAGCAAAGCTACTCTCTTCTGCTGGGAAAGCTGTTCTACTCAAATCAGTGCTGCAAGCCTTGCCCATTTTTACTATGTCCTGCTTTAAGCTTCCAGTTTCCATCTGTTCAGCACTCTCTAGCTTATGTGCTAAATTTTGGTGGAAAACAAATTCTGATACTAATCAGGGAATTCATTGGAAGAGTTGGTCTAAGCTTACTATTCCTAAACAAGATGGGGGTCTCGGTTTCCTGGACATCAAGCTGTTTAATGAAGCTTTGATATGTAAGCAGCTGTGGAGGATAACAACTCAGCCCAACCTACTGGTCGGCAAGGTTCTCAAGGAAAGGTACTTCCCTAACTCCTCTATCTTTGATGCTGTTAAAACACAGAAGGGGTCTTGGCTTTGGAACTGCTGGTTAGATGTGCTGCCCATATTTTCAAAATGGTTGAGGACTGAAATAAGGGATGGAGCTTCAACTAAGATTGAGGATTTAAACTGGGTTCCTAACTTATCTAAGGCCAAACCTGACATGCTGGAAATTGCTAGAGGTCATCTAATCTATGTCAAGGATCTGCTGCAGCCCTCAGGACTGGCATGGAATGACTGGCTGGTACAACAAGTGTTTAGTGAAGCAGACAGCACGACTATTTTAAAAATCAAAACCTTAAAGCCTGATAAACCAGACAGACTATTTTGGGGTTTGGATAAGAAGGGAAACTTTTCTGTTGCTAGCACCTACTCATACTTGGTTTCTCTGAAAGTGCTCCAACTTGATGAACCTGAATGCAGCAGTCCTTTAGTCTCCAGGAAGCTCCTTTTTCAGAGAACTTGGTCCTTGAAAGTAATGATGAAGATCAAAATCTTTTTGTGGAAGTGCATTCATGGGCTCTTACCAGTGTTGACTAATCTACAGAAGAAAGGCATGGAAATTGATACCATTTGCAGGTGCTGTGGCAATAGTCCAGAAACTATAGAGCATTTACTCCTGCATTGTTCCAGAGCAAGATCAACTTGGGCTGTGGCACCTATTTCATGGCAGCACACTTCTCAGCACACAGGACCTTTCAGAACTTGGTGGCAGTCAATCTGCAGCATTGATCATTCTGAGGTGGCTGAAAGTAGAATCCAGTTGACCACATATCTTCTCTGGTGGCTTTGGAAGACTCGGAACCAGTGGATTTTTCAGGGTGTTCAACCCCCTCCTCACATTGTAGTTAAAGTTGCTGTTTCTGAATGGCTGGAGTACTCCTCATTGCATTCCTCTTCTCCTTGAAGTTTGTTCTTTTCTTTTCTTAGACTGGTTGTGTTTGTTCTTAGGACTGTGGGTTGCTAGGCTTTGTGGCAGTGGTAATCTATTGTTCCTAGTAGTTTGTTGTAGTGGTGTTTATTTCTGTATTTGTTGTATTTTAGTTGGGTTTTTGAGGCTCTAGGTCATCCTTTGGATGTACCTCTCATGTTGTTTATTGGTGAACTTCTTGTACTCGAGCTTTGCTCGTTTTCAGTTATAGATTTATCTAT